GGTCATTGCCAAAATTCATTGTCCCTTCTGCAGAGCCAGATTAGACTGACACTCTGCCCAAAGGGTTGAATGCATCAGTGACACAAAAATATGGGTATGTTTTTAAGGACTAAAACATTTACTTGATGTTTTCTCTGCCCACTTTGCAAAACACATCTGAAAGGCTTCATGTGTATCATGTAAAATTAATAAATTAAATAATTGTTACCTCATGAAGAAGCAAATCTGCAGAAATTATATAAATTCCCAGAAAAAAAATGGTTTTCCAGCACTGGAGGTATCATCTCCAAAAACATCTAGTACAGGAAAAATTGACTACAAAACAAACCGCAGCCACACAGCAGAGGCTGCTGACTAAACTGATGCCATCAGAAATAACATGTACTAAGCCAACACAAGACAGTAGGGGCAGCTGGCTAAACTAAATTTTAAAGTCATTTAGATCCACCCAAAATAAAATGTCTGAAATATCAGTTCACCCTGAGTATAAGATGCCAGATTCCCTGAAGAACATTTTTAAATCAAAATCTGGGCCTGACTCTATCAGGAAGGACCTCTTTGTATAGCAAGAGTGAATACATCCATTTCCCCAAAGTACCATATTCTGCAAAATTCCTAGTTTGCCAGAACAGATGAGAAGTGAACATTTGTACAGTACTGCATTGTTGCTAAACTGAAACTGTGTTAATAATTTAATGTGTTAATGAATAATGGGGGAAGGAATTACAACTGACCAAATGTATACATTTCAAATATGATATTTATTTCCTTTAAATTGGTTCTATGTGTAGATAACCGTGATTCCACTTTTCCCTGAAACTAACTCACGTTTCTTGTGAAAATTGACATTATCCAATGAATTATATTGTGGTATGCAAGAAATCTTCATTTTCATCAGTTTCTTTTATGCTAATGATAAATTAATGTAAAAATTTTATTTTGGCTGTATACATTCTTAAATATTAATAAAGATAATAAGGAAGATTCCAGTTAGAACACTAGTGTGAACTATGGGAAACACAAATACAAATTCCTGACATACTTGCAAGATAATTCTCTCTCTCCTTCACTCTCTGTCTGTTATTTACAAGATAAAGGGTTCAACCACCATTCTTAATTTTCAGTAATTGTTTTTATTTTACAGCAATGATTCTTTCGCTAGTATTAGATTCATTATGGGTAAGTTAAGTGCAAGCTACGAACTGGTCAGGTGAAAAGGATCTGGACAGTATAAGGGATCATAAATTTTATAGAAGTCAACAGTGCCATGCTATTGTGAAATAGATTGGACTGTCACATAGCAGAAGTAAATAGATTGCAAGGCATGTCATTTCATAAACTCTACATAGTATTGGCACCATCTTATCTGAGCACCGTGTTCACCTTGGACCATTGCCTGTCAAGAAAGGCATAGAACATCTGGAGAAAGATCAGAGGAAACAAAGAATGATAGAAAATTTGGAAAATGTGACCACTAAGGAACTATTTAAAAACATTGCAGTCATTTAACCTGAGGAGGGAAAGGCCAAGGAAAGATATGATAGTAGCTATGATATCAGCTTTCCATTAAGTCAAAGAAGAAATAAATAATCTGCTTTCTGTGCCTATAGGACTGGACAAGAATTAATGCATTTTTGGTAAGAACATTTCTATGTAGAAATAAAATGTTTCTTATACTGAGCAAATTGCAGCGTTAGAATGGATTTCTGCTTTCTCATTGAAACTTTTCTCACTGAAAGTCTCTGAAAAGGATAGATAAACATCTGTCAGGAATGGCAAAAATAATGTATTTTGCCTCTCAACAACAGAGTGGACTAAAAAGAAATCCCAATGCCCATTTCAATCCTATTTTTTCTCATTTTTTGAAAGCAAGGCACTTCAAAACAGCAAACCGGACATCAGTTTTCAGACTACATAAAAACACACCTCTCTGTCTCAAATGAATTCATACTTGTCAACACTATTTAATACAATAATGATAGCCATTAAAAAAGTGAAAGCATATTAAATAGCATTTCTTCTATATGTGTTAATCTTTTTCCTGTTTTCTACAAGTTTAATACTCTTTCTCTAATCTGAAAGGTATTTACTTCCATTTCTGCAATATAAAATCAGTCAGTGAAAAACAGGTCTAGGAGGGAACCTTCAGTTCTATTAACCAGATTTTTCAAGAAAATACAGAATGCAGCCAAAGAGAAGAAGATCACTTAGGGAATTGCATTTAACTCAACTTCTGTTTTGAAAGTAAATCATCAGCAAATACTCCATGGGTACCACTGTCCACACAGTTTTGCTCCATCCTATCACAGTTTTATTAAGACCAAGGTCATTTCCAATTAAAATGTTACACAAACTAGTGTCAAATATTCTACTAAAGTTACATTAGATATAAGGTTATAATCACTGTATAGTATAACTACTGTGGGTTTTAATTGTATGGTGTTTATTTTTAAAGATTTAATAAATCCTTACAAAATTTTAACTGTAAAGAACTTTAATACCTCTTAAGTATGAGGGTTCTTAGATTTCAGTGACATACTCATGTTTAGTAACAATATCATCATAACAGACAAAGCACAAATCTTAGAAAAAATCTATACATTATATCCCAACAGCCTATTTCCTTCAGGTATATTTAGGTCTATAAGATAACACTAAGTTGGAATTATAAAATTAATGTGACCTGTTCTCAGAATCACAACATCATGGAATGGTTTGGGTTGGAAGGGACCTTAAAGATCATCTAGTTCCAACCCCTCTGCCATGGGCAGGGACACCTTCCACTAGATCAGGTTGCTCAAAGCCCCGTCCAACCTGGCCTTGAACCCTTCCAATGATGGAGCATACACAACTTTTCCAAGCACACCTGTGTCACTGTCTCATCACCCTCATTGTAAAAAACTTTCTCACTTGCATTCAATCTGAATCTCCCCTCTTTCAGTTTAAAACCGTTACCCCTCGTCCTATCCCTGCACTCCCTGATAAAGAGTCCCTCCCACGCTTTCCTGTAGCCCCCTTTAAGCACTGGAAGGCCACTATAAGGTCTCCCTGGAACCTCCTCTTCTCCAGGCTGGACATCCCCAGTTCCCTCAGCCTTTCTTCACAGGCGAGGTGTTCCAGCTCTCTGACCATTTTTGTGGCCCTCCTCTATCAGGTCCACACATTTCTTGTAGTGAGGACCCCAGAGCTGGATGCAGTACTCCAGATAGGACCAGTTTTATAATCTGTTCTTTGAAAAAGGCAATTCCAATAGAGTATTACCATTTTAAGGTGGTAATCAAAGAGCATCAATACACTACCGTAAAAATGTTGCATACTACTGTTTGGATAATAGGAGGGGATAGATTTCAGCATCATAACAATTTCATAAAATATCCAGTAATTAGTTAATTTGCTTTGACCAGTTAAGGTATGTTAAGCAATTACTTGGCTGACATATAACAAAAGATAAAGTGAATTTACATATGAAGTGTACACAATATTATTATCATTCTTGCTAATACATCATCATCATGAGAAAGTAAATGAAGGTATTAAATTTTATTCATATTTGTATTTTGGAGGTGTCTGAATATGCAAAGCAACATCACAACCTCATCATGCTACAATGTAAATAAACGGAGTATTTCAAATAGCATCTGCCTCCATCACATGCTATTATTGTCAAAGTATATAAAGTATGAACATTACCTCTGAACTGAATAAATGTTTTATTTTTAAAATATAATTAATTCAATTGTTCAAAAACTGGAATTAAACCATCATGCAATGATTCACATTACTTCACAAATAATTTGATGGCTGCTACTGATCCTTTTCATTGCAGAGCAGCTTAACACATTGAAGTAAATTTCTAAGCTTGGCCAACTGATTAATTTCACAAGCTATTTTCTGATACAAACATTTTCATAAAACCATAACTATTATGAAATAGCATCAGAAGTATTTTTTAAAATAGATAACTATTCTCTGAACCTTCAGAGAAATATCTTAAAAATAAGATACTTTTTACTATTCACTGCATCATTTACACCTTTTACATAATGTAATCAAAGGATTTAAATAACTCAATTTAATATTTATCCAGGAACTGGCAGCCAGTATTCTACCCTGAGGGATGTAACTCATCATAAAAAGCTCATTTTACAAGACACTGTAGCAGTTTTGGCATTACCAGAACCTCTCACATAAACCATGCTCAAAACTATAGTTTATCCTGCCAAATGCCTTTTGTACATATGGTATTTAACAGTGTTCTGTGGGCCTGTAAGCCAATAATAATAGATTTAAGCTAAAAATCTGGAGGCACACACATATGTAACACAAAAATTTAAACAATGGTACATATTAATATATACATATTTACCTACATATCCCACATGCATATAAACATACATGATTAAAAATATTCTTTAAATTAATATGCTAACTATAACTCTTGTAAAAACAATTTATCTTTCAATTTGCAGTAGCTTCCTAAAGTATAATTCTTCTTCTATTGACATCAGAGGCAGAACTTCCATTAACCTCAGCAGTACAGAATTAGGCCACAAGAAACACAAAGAAATATATTTAAAGACACATTTGTAAAATCTTCTAACTATGAAAGGATGGGCTTGGCACTCTACATAAAGTTAACTTCCCCAGTAAACATCCAAATTAAATTTTAAACCAACATATTTTAAATATGACATCTTTGATTAGTGGTCTACAAATACTGTATGTAACAACAGAATAAAATCCAGTTATGTATCTATATGTAGTAAGAGATGGACCTGATGAAATGTGCACTGTAGGTAATAACAAACTTCACAACCCTTTTTACATTTAACAGTCTCATTTTACATCATACTCTGACTGAGGTGAATCAGTGAATTAAGAAGTATTTAATGCAAGTCTTCTTTAGAATTAAGACACTTTTTTATAAGCATGAGTGATATAGTTATAAGTGTTAATATACTGACAACTCTGTCACATAAAATAACACTGAAAATTCTTACCACTTTCAAAACAGGCATCAAATATAAGATGTCCTTTTTTAGGCTGTCCACAATAACCAGCTGGGAGAACAGCGTACTTGCTCACATTCCCTGCTATGATATCATCACTTCCTATGGCAATACCTGTTGCAGTAAAAGCGACAAAAAAAAAAAAAAAAAAAAAAAAGCATGAGCATTAAACAAAACACTATAAAAAGCAGTAGAAGGATATTTCCCCATGTTTTCCTGTATAACATGAAATTTGCACCATTTAACATATGCACCAGTAAATGAACTCTTTCCTTTCAAAGTTTATTTGAGAATTCAGATATAATAATGGCATTGTGTGTTAAAGCTTCTCTACGTAACAAACCACACAGCCTGTTTTTTTTGCATATGCATGTCCTCTGCATGAACACTCTTGTATGCAGTAGTCTGATATTCAGCTGGATCCACTTCTTTTGACTGGAGCTCTCTAGTACATATATTCTGCATGGAATCCCTAGAATTGACCTCCTCAGTAGCGTATTTCTTACTGTGGGCATTAATGGGATCTTTTTCTTCTATCCCACTGCCTATTTTCATGCATCTTAAATGAACTTAGAACCTCTGAGACTGTTAAGTCCTACTCGTATTTGAAATTTGAAAATTATTAGAAGGGAGAGATGTACACCCATGAAGGCATGTGATTATGTGTGCCTTGGTCGCATGGGATACAAAACTCAGAAAAATAACTTAAATAGATAAATATTTTTTTAAATGTAGGGTTTATTTCATAACAAAATATATAAGGACATAAATTTTCTATACAATGTTATGATTTTTGTCAAAATATTTCAGTAGTATATATATTGAAAGCTTTGTCCTTCCAGTAAAATGATGCTGTCTAAAAAACTGCAATATGCAAAAAAGTTGTTTCCAAATATGGATGGAAGAACACAGTGATTTTTTTCATTTGAAAAATGTACAAGGAAGTAAGTTAATATTTGTGTATTATATTATACATTAATATTATAGTATAGTGAAAGAAATACACAATAATATAACTAGCTGTTCATTCTTCTGACATTGGCTCAGCATTTTCTTCAATTTACTGTTCAGACAACAAATATTTAACAATAGAAAAACTATCTTCTGTGTTACAGAAAACTAGAAGAAATGTGTCTCCAAGTACAGGAGGCATGTGATGGAATAATGGGATGATAATATCTTATTTCACTGATAAATAGGGCTACTAAGGCTTCTCAAAATAGACTTTTAGTCTGCACTGATTTTTTGACATTTAAATGGGTTACAAGGGATGATGAATGTGACATAAAGCTCAATTTGTTTTATTTTTATATTGAAAACTATTTTACACAAATGTTACCAGCAATTCATATTGGCCGTGAATGATGAAAACAGCTTATTAATTAAAACTGACCTTTCCATACATAAATGTATTCCACCTCTTGAGGCAAAACACCTTAGCTGAGGTAACAAATTATATCAACGTATTAGTGACACCACAGTTAAAGGGTCTGTCAGGCTTTCTATTATATACTCATATTTTCAGAGGTATATAAATCCCAGATTAAAAAATATCTATGTCCAGGCCAACACTCGGCATATAAATGCCCAGTTTTCCCAGGGAAAAAATCTGAAACTTACTCTCTTTGAGAAGTGCTACAACAAAAGAAAGAAAATTTAGACCTCTTCTTACTTTATCGTAATCCAAAAAGTTAGATATTAAGTAATGCATGCTATTCTTTTTTAGCAAAATTATTATTTGCAACCTCAAGGTTATTTGATTTAGACTGAATAATTACCCACAGATAGCAAGCTGAAGCATTTAAACCATTTTCTTCAAATTTAATTTGCTACTTGGAATATTTTTTAGCTAGATGTTTAGCTAGATGTAAACTGATACAATATGTTCAAAGGCTGCTAACACTAGAGGCAAACTTAGACCTGGATGGGGCATCTGTGTATCTGTATGGCCATGATCATGTCACTTTATACAATTCATCCCTCTGCATCATGCAACCTGTAATTCAGAGCAGCAGCCACAGGAAAACCATTTCCTCAGTTTCAGTTCAGTGCCACTTTGATTAAGAGGCCCTGTATACCTGTCGCAGTTAGTCAAGTTAAGCGTTTGTAATCCAACACATTGAATCAAGGATACAAAGACAAAATCAGGGAAAACCTCCAGATCTCCACCAAGAATGCATGAACCGCCAGGGACCAAAGTGAAAGAATCGGGGGCAGGAAGTCAACTGAATAAAGCGGTAAGAAGACTGAATTCCTCCTGGTAAATGCTCACTTGTAAATCTCAGCTAAAAATAATAGCCTTCTTGTAATTCTTAAAAGATAGCTGGGAAGCGCCACTTAGATAAAGATGAAGAAATCAGAAAAGATTACATTCATAATACTGCCACCATAAGACAGTGTAGAAAAAGCAGGCAGAAGACAGAGCTACATCTCCCCTTCCACCTAACTGACAAATTAGAAAATCTGCCAATGGAGTCTTTACACGATGCAGAAGGAAGATGTTAAGTAACTGTGTCCTAGCAAAAAGTTTCCATCTGCTCCTCCTGGCCTAATGTAGCCATTCAGGAATGAGAATAAAATCATCACATAGCCTATAATTCATACTAATTTAATAATATTAATCTCTCTTTTCATGTTCTTTATTACAGAGTACTTTGGATATTCAGAATGCGTTGTTGTTATACTTTGAGTTATCTTATCTTTAGTTAATCTCTAAATATGCAAAACTGTAGTCTTTAAACTTCATGTTATTCTAGAGCACAACAGCACTGTCCCTTCTGGCATGTTCTCCCTGGGTGATAAAGAAAAGGCCAGACTACTGGCCAAAAAAGAGCCTGCACTGCTGTATTAGTAGATTATAAAACATGGCTTCACGCTTGTCTGTTCAGCAGATGCAGTGAGCGTTGCTGAGAATACGTTACCATCTTCACATGAAGAGAACTGTTACACTGCACGGTAAGTCGTCTGGCCAAAAAAGAGATACTGTCCTCACAACTGGGGAGCTCTAAGTAGATTTACCTGACTGAAGGCAGAGATGTATAACAGACCCTCGTAGGGAAGGGAAATAGTACTTAAATTGGAAACAAACTGAAAGGGAAAGAAGAGAATTAACTGAAGTACATCTTGCACATTACACTGAAGGAGACCAGATTCTCCTTTGAAAAAAAGGTTAGATAAGACAAGTAAAAGCAAGAGTAACTTAGCAAAGAAATTTTCTCAGACTGTAGGTCTTATTTCGTCAATTATTTTTCTTATAGGTTGTAAGACACATAGCTATTTTATTCTAATACTTCATAGCTTAAACTCCTGGAGTCTCCAGCAAATCCCTAGGATTTACTTTTACTACAGTATTAAACTTTAATGGTAATTTTCTATCAGGTATAAAATCTGTAGGTGTCTGAAATCTCTGTAAGTATATAAGGTTTTAAAATAAAACCTGGACATAGTCTTCTGGTATCTGCATTCATCACTACTCTCACTGTGGATGTATTTCGCATCAAACTAGTGAAAATTAATAGGATCAGTTACAGAGGACTGGGATTCTTAGGAGGAAGAGTTTGGAAACTTCCAGACCTTCTTGTTATTCTTAAGTTCAAAGGGTAAAGCCAACATTTTTTTCATTTAGGCAAAGATGAAAACAGTATTTACAAAAATAAACATCATGCAAATTTAGGTACATTTTCTTTAAAAACTGCCATTTCTAGAGGAAATACCACTTTAGTAAGTAATAGTTACTCTGAATTGGGTAAACAACAAGTCCTGCTTCCAGCTGTGACAAACTTCTGAATCCACAGAGTTAGCAGCCAGCAGCTACCCTCATGCTACATTAGGTAGGAGAGCACAAATGCATTAAAATACACACAGAAAAATGTAGAGTGAATTTTCCTGGAAAACCTGCATCATTCTTAGAATAAGACTTACTGCCTAACAAGAATAGCCAGTTAGAAAGGTAAGGTAACATGAAAAGATATAATAACGGCAAGTGAACTTTGTAGGAGTCTTTCTTTAAATATTACAAATGTCATCAAGACACCTCTCATTCTGTTACGAGATCCTTATTTTAGAACAAAATTATGATACCTTTTACTACTGAAAATCTCTAGGCTGTAAAGATCTAATAGGCAGATTAGAAAAAGAAGAAAACACAGCTGTCATTTCAACCTTCACAGCCATGTACCCTGCAGCAAGGATTGGGCATGACCCTGAGAATCGAAACATACTGCAGAGAGTGTTGTCAACCTGAAATGTACTTAATTCACAGTCACCATGATCTGAAAAGAAATGGAAGAAATTATGTTAAGACTACAAATCCCAGGGTTTAGGAGAATACCTGGCATGATACTAACCCCATCTGCTGCCTCACATTCAAGTACTGGGCCCATACTGTCACCATCACCTATTCGAAAGGTCAAGCAGGACAAGGAAAATGTTGATTATCACAGACAGAATTCTCACACAGCTTGGTCTAGTTCTAAAAAATAGAAACACTGTGTTGTTATTTAGAAATAAAATTTGAGATAAAGCATCTGTAAAGTAATTGTCTCTTCAATTACTTTCCTCCTACAGCTTGACCTACAGACTCCTTGTCAAGTCTGTCTCCAAACTGCAAGAGGATATTCATATTCAAGAAAACATGCACAATAAGAGACAAGCACTAGTTTAGCAGAGATCAACAGGTACATTCTGAGTTTTGCAAATGTTCTGAAAGCATACAGGAAAAATAAACTGTTAGCTTACTGCCATGGACTTGAAAAAACTTGTGGTAGGTTGCATAAGTAGGAAGATAACATTATAATTTATTGTTTGATTTTTTTTACTTTTATTGCATATGTTACTCTTTCTACAGAGGCTACCAGACAACGTATCCTTTTAACCTTCCTAACACAATTCCTTGGCTAATGCACCATTAACTTTTATCTTGGTTAGAAGGCATAAGTACATCTAAATAACTCATACTTCTTTAGATATGCATACCCAAACTGATTTACTTTAGTAGAAAGTATGGCATAGGTGTCTCAGTCGAAACAGAGTGGAAGAAGTCTTGTTCTTATATGCAAACATGTCAAAGGAAAATGACCACTTAAGATGTCACGTGATGTGCCTACAAAAGGCTT